TCAAACTCTTCTTCATCACTATCTTCATCCTCATCAGCGTCCTCGTATACTTCTTCACCAAGCAAGGCATTATGAGTTGATCGATATTCTGCAGCTTTGGCTAGCCACTCATTTTGATCATCTATTTTGCCTATATAATATATGTAACGTTTATCTTCACGTGGCATCCCAAGCGGTTTTTCTAGAGTCTCAAAGTCTGCAATTAAGTCAGCTCGGTGTCTCAAAACCGCATCTTCACCTGAAGATTGTGCTTCTTCGAATGCATTTCTAAGATTATATGCATTTACACAAGATATAAGCATTGCATTAATGTTAAATTAACATCTCACGAGAAAAAAAGGGATGAAATTATTTACGTCATAATTGCGATCAACAAATTTTGCATGATAATGACAAGAAAAATGCTTGCAACTATTCAATTACAGTATATCGATATAAGAAAGTTCGTTCAAACATATTTTCCCATTATAAAAATATATATATATATATATCTTACTAATAGCCAAAATGTCGAGAGGTACAAAATCCCATTGATCAAGTTGATCCCATCTTCCATTAATCCAGAAGAACACACTCTCAACAGATTTCCAAAAAATGAGAAAAATAATTGTCGCTGACACTATTAACATCAATTGATTGAGAAATTGTTATATCAGGGTATAAATTATTGGTTTCTGTACTTGTATCTGATGCATTTAAGATTGAATATGATGATCCGCCTGGAGTTAGGCCAATTTGAGTTGGATCTCTTAGTAAAATAAACCTATATGATAATAAAAAAAATCAGTAAAATACAAATAATATGAGATAATATAAAATGCGAAAAAATAAACGGTCGTACATCGCATGACCAATACCAAAAATAACTATTAGCATAAATGTAAAAAATGGCCAAATTTTTTTCAATATGTTCAAGATAATATAAATAAAATTTGCGGGTTCTAGATAAGCAATATAATATATAAGCCGTTAATATAAAATGTTATAGATAAATATAAATGATAAAATATAAATAAACATACGTTTAAAGAATCGCAACATCAAAAACTAAAAAGAAGCTATAATTAATATTCACTGGAGTAACTCAGAAAAATTGGTGTAATAAATAGCATACATACAAATTCTCCCCACATAAAGAGAGTAATAAATGCCAAAAAAATACTATAAGCTTGCTTAGAACTTGAACTATTACCAAGATTTGCAATAGCTAGTAGATCTGACGTAATAATCAAGCAAAGTGGCGCAACACAAGATATAAGATCAAAAAAATTGTACAAGGTAAAATATCTTACAAGCCCTTCATGTTTGAGTTGTACAATTTCAGTAACAAGCAAATAATAGCCCAGGTAAAAAAATATCAATTGAGTGATTAAATATAAACCAAAGTTTACATTCGAGTTTAAATACATTCCATCTTCCATTATTCCAGTAATAATTGAAAATAACAGTGCAAAAACAATAAATTGAGCAAAATGACGCAGGCAATAATCACGTGCAGATGCCCACTTATAATCGATTACTGCAGCCATAGCAGGATTGCTAAACAATGCTGAACTGCTATCACGACCAATTACACGAAGAAATGGGCTACACATCACGTCTTTGGTAACAATGTACTCACGCGGCCAGAATAATAATTTTAAAATTTTCCGTGATAAAGGAATTTTGGTATGATCTTCGAAAGCATCTGGTGGATATATTGTAAAATCTAAAAATATAATAATTTCAATATATATATATTTGATATAATATATCAGATATATTGATTAAATATAAGTGATGTTACCCGGAAGCGGAACAACTCGCACAGTTGTAGTAGTCGGCACGAGTGGTTCACGATTCTCCCCTTTAAAATACCTAAATGTACATCATTTAAAACGATATCAATTAAGATAATAATATTACTATAAAATGCACTCCAGGCAAAGAAAAATAATAATATGATACCCAATTTTTTCTTCTTTTAAAGTTTCTTCGAATTCTTCCACTTCTTCAAGAACTCTCTCATATGAAAAGAAACTTGTAATCTTTTGAATAAATTGAGATTTTCTATCATGTTGCTTGGTTGCTGGTTTGCGTGGAAGTCCCGGTTTAATGTATAAGGAGTGAACAGGTTTAAATCGCCCTTCGAATAAATCACCACGGCTTATAAAAGATGTATCAATTTTTATTTCTTTTGCACCGAAACATGGCTTGTAAAATAGTTCATGAACATAATAATCTAATATTTTAAAATTAATATATTAATATATTAATATAAATAATATTGTTAATTAACATAATTATTAACATAATTATTAATATAATCAATTAATATAATTTATAGTTATTGTATAGTTGTCTGACGATTGAAAGTCCGATTTAATTTCATATATACAATATGGAAAAAATTGGACATTCATATCATAAGAAACTATATAGTAATCAATTAAAATAATATAATCAATTAATATAATCAATTAATATAGTCAATTAATATAATCAATTAATATAATCAATTGATATAATATATATAATTAATTAATATAAACGTTAATAAAAAATATAAACTTTAAATTTTGCCAAGCGAAATTATGTAAATAAATTTCTCTTGGCATCTTATTTTATTAAAAATTATTACTACGTACCCATGTTACGATCATATAGCTCTGGTAGTGCTTGAGTAACGGTAAACATCCATCCAGCATTAATCATTGCATTATCTGCATAATAGTTTAATAGATATCCTACAATAATAGTATCCTGACGACGATCACCAGAACTACTGATAGCAACTTGCAAATCACTTTCTTTTGGTTCTAGAGGCCATGCATAAAGTCTAGGATAATGTAAATGGTTTGACAATTTTGAACTTATTCCACGCGGACTTTCATCTTTATTAAATAAAATTGCTTTAATCAAAGAAACACACTGTCCACGAATCAATGATTGCATAATTTCATATCTAACATCAGCCATTCTCCAAACATCAGGATGTTTATTCATGAATCTTTTTAATATATTTTTTGTTTGACGAGCTAAATCACGATATAATTGTTTTTTATTAGGTGTGATTGGTTCGCCTCGTTGACGATTAAGATATTCAATAGCTTTACACGCATCTCTCAAGGGAGAACGTTCACGTGGCCAATGAATTTTGTATTCTTCTTTAGCTATAGGAAGTGATAACTTGACAGAAAATTCACCATTACCAATGTGAAAACTTTGAATATCAAATCCTTCGTCACGACCGCTAGTCCAAATATATTCAAGTCTTCGTCTGTATTTAGAAGATTCATTTTTTTTCCACACTTGAATTGTAGTTAATCCAATAATTACTTGTAATGTCTTATCATCATTGAGGTAAGCAGAAGTACGAGGATGTTTTTTGAATCGAACCCAAGGTTCAGCATTACCAATAATAATAGTATTTTTTGGTTCTTTTTTAGCATCAACAAAATTACCATCTTTGTAAATATAATGATAAATTTGATTTAATGGTGATGGTGTTGAAACATCTCTTTGAATCTCTAATGGAATTAGTTCTGATGATACAGAAGGTTCTAAAGCAAATTTCAGATCAGGATGATCAACAATCGAAAAAACTTCACCAGTATCTTCATTAACACCAACAATAAATCCACTAGCACTAGAAAACCTATGATAATGATCAGTAGTAAATTTTGAAACATTTTTACCCGTTTGAATTATATTTTGAGTATCTCTAATTGTCTGAACACAATCTTCATAATCACTAAAAAGATTCCAAATTAAAATAACAATAACTAATTCAGTTGAACCATCATCTTTTTCCTTTTCTTCTTCACCAATTAAAAATAATTTTTCATCATCATGAACAAAATCAATTGTATTTATTTTATAAAGATTAGAAAATAGTTTTGTTGCAATTTCCAAAGTATTTTCCATTAAATATATTGAAACACTATTATTTCCTCTACAATAAGCTAATAAAGCATTATTTTTTGAAACTTCATAAATAGCATTTCCATGAGCTTCTAATTTTTTTTCAATAGTTTCTTCCTGAATATGAAAAACTTTATAAAGTTCACCAGTTTTTAAACTATACATTTCTAATAATTCAAATTTATAATTTTCAGCTATAAAAAAATTTTTTTCAATATTTCTATTAAATAATTGCAAATTAGGATTAGAACTTTCAGCAGTACCAATTTCAGTAGCAATTAACATTGGAAATAAGAATTGTTCAGCAGGTTTTTTAAGTAGATTAGTTCTTAAATTGCCATCATCAGCTGAATAATTAGATTCAATTGTAGTTCTTGAAATTCCAAGTATATGAACTATTACTACATCAGTATTAGGACTATCATCAGCAAGAAATCGTATAACACCACCAGTATCATCCACAGAAGTTTTTATCCTATCTTTGTACCAAGTTGAAAGTATCCATGTATATGGACTTACTCTGACATTAAAATAATCTAAACGACCTTCTTCTAAATCCTTCATAGAAGAAAATGAAGAAGAAAAATAACTTCTAGTTTTGTGAGCTCGTCTTTTCTTTGATGATTTAATTAAAGTATCAGTTCTATCAAAACATGAAACACCAATTAATGTATCTGAATGTGAACCCAAATTAATTGAGTTTGATATCGCTATCGACCAACATAGTCGAGGGTTACTGATATCTACAGTTCTGAAACCTTTATATTTTATCTTTTTTTTATCTGTCAAATTCTTAATATGACATATTTCTAATTCCAATGTCTCTAATAAAGAATATAAATTTTATTAATTTTCTTTTTATGCATTCTATTTTTTTTTTTTTTAATAAGCAAAAAAAAAAAGAAACTTTTTTTTTACCTGTATTAAATGTAACAACATTTTGACCATCTGGACTAAGTGCGACATGGTACTTTGGAATATCAGAACTCGAACTCATATTTTGTTCAATCTGATTGTTTAATTATAATAAGCGAAGCGGAATTAAACTATTTTAATCATTTTTTACAAAAATTTAGCCCCGAATATTTGTTATAATGAAATATTTGTTGTAAATTTTTTTTTTAAAAAAAAATATTTGTTGCAATTTCTTGGCACTCGTGGATTTAGAAGTGACACTTAGATTTAGAAGTAACTTCTTGGCACACGTAGATTCGCAAAATAAAGTCTTAGCATGTGTAAATTTAGAAAATATTGTTACATTTTCTATGATAAAAGAAATTGTTGAGGCTAAGATTGTGGCAAAATTTAAAACATACCGCATTTACATAAACAACTAAGCAATTTTTTTTTCTTTACATTTCATTCATTAACATGGATGGCTTTGTATTTGAATAATATTGATATGTTTACGTGTTTACGTTCAGATTGGTTGGTTGCATAGCCGCACGATTTTGGATCTCAGAAAAAAAATTTTAATTTTCACATTTATCGACATAGTCATCGTTATCGTTGTGTGAAATTAATTATCTTGCCATCAAATCTCGCGCTTATAAAATATATTATGTACATGAGATGTAACTTTGTAAAGTATTCGATTTATTGCTGATTAAAAGTAAAAACATGATTTTAATGGCATTGAGTCGAAAGATAATTTTATCTAGTAAAAAAAGTCAACTAAAAACGAAATTTAATCTGTTACCGATTTATTCATTGGTATTTTTTATAGTCTTTAAATTAAGTAACTGTTACTTTAAAGAATTTTAACATATATAAATTATTAAATATATATTTAGCATCTGAACGGTTATTTTACTTAGATTTTGTTTGTTATCTAATAAATTAGAAAAATTTCAACAACATAGAAACAGATAATTAAATATAATCTCCCGTAATCAGGCTACTGTTTTTTAGTTATTAAATTGTCGTCAAATTCAAATTATCCATATCTGATTTATTCAGATATCCGTTTACTATTGATATCCGGATAATTCGATGTTAATAGTAAATAGTAAATAGATATCCGAATAAATTCAACGTATCATAGTGTAATATTTAAAAGTGTTACACGAAATGATAAAAAATTAGAACACATCTAACTATCGATACTAAGTAAGTTGTTGCAAGCAACATGTTATAAGTAAAAGTGCCCTAATTTTTTAAATTGTATCGATATGATTTATCATTTTCGCGTTTTAGCTCATGTTTAGCATTGATAGCTAGGGTTGTTAATGGAGTACTCCAGTTTATAATAAAACATATAACCCACTCCGGAGCACTCCAGAAATGGGATATGTTTTATTATAGTCTGGAGCACTCCATTAACAACTCTATTGATAGCATAGCAACCGGAAAACAAAGTATAGCAGACAGATTAAGTCGGATTGTCAGAAAATAAAAAGAACTGAATAAATCAACGTTAAAGATTTTACATAAATAGAAACTAATAACCAAAATTGAAATCAAAGATTGAGCAAAAAAATACATAGCTATATAATATAAAAAACGACTTTATTCAAAATTTCCTTATGAAATAATTAATGACGAGCATTTTTAGCAATTTTTAACTAAAGCAACAAAGAATTGCCAACGTCTGTTACGTACATACATACATACGTACGTACGTACGTATGTTTATATGATTACTCGTAATAAATGTCACGTAGTTATACAATATTTGACAATGTTGCATCGCCAAGTTGATTAATAATAATATATTTGTATATATTACTAATCAACAGCGTTGATGCGTATAATTTGATAGAAAATTATAATATGGGAGTATAAACAAGAACACAAAAATTCCGGGAGTTTGAAATTTATCTTAGGCGGAAAGTTCCGTTTATATTTTCATAAACAAATTATTTGATCGTTATACAGTAAAAAAAGGTTAGTTGAAAAGAATTTTCTAAATTTCATTTAATAAAGCACATGTCCGAAAATTTACAACAACCCAGTTAAGAGTTTCTAAATTCCGTTTAGTAAACACATGGCCAAAGTAATTTACATCATAAAATTTAGTGAATTGATATAAACGGCTTAAATTAATTGTTATATTAATATATATAGCTAGATTTCGATAAAGGATGCTCGTTATAACCAGTTGTTTATAAAAAGTTTAGTCTTTTTTTTAAAAACTTGATAGATCTTTTTAGCGATGTATATTATCAATATTCGGGAGTATACACTGTACAACTAGTGCTATTACTTATATATGTTGTATATATATGTAATAACAACCGAGATCACCACTACCACCTAGTAATAATAGTAGCACAAAAGTTTGATTAGTGGATTTTAAGATTAAATATGCAATATATCGAATATACTAAAAAGACAATGACAAACTAACAAACTATATATGAAATTTTTGGATTAGTGTTAGACATGACAGTATTGTATGGTCAGTTTTCTTGGAAAAACTGCCAAAAAATTTCTTGGCAAAAAAAAATACCTAAAATGAAATAAACTTAAAATCGATCAATAATTTTTTACGACATTATCACGTTATACAATTATAGCAACTCTCCCTAACAGATTACTCAATTATTATAAAGTTCGGAAAGTTCGGATTAAGTACGTAAGTACATTTATAAACTGCCCTTTTTTTTCTGTTTAGAGAGAAATGTCTGCTGTATTTTCATATTATTATATGCAGTCTGATATATTACTATTGCATGTATATAATTTAGGTTTGGATCAAAATTTCCGAAAATAAGAATTTCGATAGGGTCGAAATTCCTAAAAAAATGGCCAACATTAAGCTAATCCTGCTAACTTTATCGGGATTTTCTGATATATTATATACATACTACGTATTGTATTACTATTGTATTTATTACTTTATGCAGTAAAATTAAGATATAATAAAAGTTAAAACTTTTTAGGCATTCTGTGCATATCTGATATACTGCATGTACGTACGTAAATACGCATAATGGTAACACTTTTGAGATTTATATCACGAATAACGGTATATACCTGATATAGAAATTAATCACAAATTATATTAATTCGTACGTAATACTGTTAAACAATCAAAATTTAATTCTCAAACGAAAGGTTTGATTTTTTTTTTTTTTTTTTGTTGTCAAGAATATCCCTTGTTTGACAGTTTGACAATAGTATAAAATGTTTCAGAAACGTGTTTCTTTCTTTTATTTATTGTATAAACCACACAATTTAACTTATAGTAAAATACAATCTACATTAATATAAACAATCCAAATGTTTCACCAATCAATGTGTTCTTTTTTAATGACTTAAATGAATTTTTTATTATTATATAATGTTTTAAAAGCAATTAATTAGATTTATTTTTTAATTTATGAGTTAATAATATTTATTTTATATATCCTATTATTATTAAAATTATCGCCTGTCACGAATGTCCTGTACATTTTTATATAATATTTTGAGAGTATTTAAAGCAATTAATTAGCATTTTTCTTATGGTTATTTAATACATAAAATTACGAATAATATTTCTTTTTCTATCGTATCTTATCAATGCTACAATGTCCACAAAATTTCGTGTTCCTTAAAGTACAGTACATCAAAGTTTATCGAAAAAAAAAAGATTTACTTACATACTACGTACGTATGTGCAGTACGTATCAGGTATAACATACATATAGTGAGTTTGCATATGTTTTTAATACATCCATATGTATAACAATATATGCATATTTTTAATACAGTATGTATATCATAAAAATACTTTAAAATTAAACGTTTTAGAATTAGAAATAAAACAAAAATATTTAATATTTTAACCAAATTACCTTTTCTTTCTTGTTTATTATTGTTACAATTTTCTTTAGAGTTTGACAATATAAATCACTAATAAACAATTATATTAAATGCGTTATGTAGTTTTTGATCACAAATATATGAAATTTCGTTCAATTTCATTCCAAAAGGAAATATAAAATTATTGAAAGTTTGTAATGTATTAAAATGATTTTAATTCGATTTCTAACTGGATACAGTATATACTTTATTTTTTTAATCTTGACAGTGTCCCACAAAATAGATTGAAATTATTATCATAATTAAAATTGTATTAATTTTGTGAGACAATAAAAACTTATAAAAAAAAACTAATTTTGCTGTTGTCCTGGATCTATATCCTATATCGCCGTGAAAAATCCTTGTCTACGATCTTTGAAAGACGTACACTCTTTAACGGATTTCAAATAACTCCAACTTAAGCTTTGATAGCTGCATCATTAACGTAAATTTGTTGTTAAAATAACGCACATACACAACAAGATGAAACCATTTACTTCGTTTTTAGTTGTCGTATTGATGTTTTCAAACATCATCATATTCGTTCAGTGTATGAACGAACAAAAAATGCTTCAGTTAGTTAATGCTGAACGTTCAAAAGCCGGGGCCGGTCCTGTTAGCTTAAACAGGTATGTCTTAAAATTTTAATTTATCACAATTGTATTCAAAATTATTTTCAGGTCAAGTTTAAAATTATTTTGCTATATGCTATTATTAATCTTTATTATTATTATTATTATTATTTTATTATTATTTTTTTATTATTATTACTGTATTATTTATATGAATATTTAAAATCATGAATTTATTATAGTAATCTTTGTAAAGTAGCTCAGGATCACTCTAATTACATGCAAAAGTCCAATACACTTACCCATGACGACCCAGCTGGAGATTTAGGTACTAGATTCTCACAACACGGCTACGGTTTTTCTAGTGCTGGCGAAAATGTTGCTCAAGGGTATAATGACGAAGAATCCGTCATGCAAGGGTAAATATTTTAATTAATTAATCTTTTATTTTTTATCTTTATTTCAAAATTCTGAATTATTACTTATTATTATCCTTTTTATCGAATAGGTGGATGAATTCACCAGGTCACAGAGAAAATATTCTTAACCCTTCCTTCAAAGATGCTGGTTTTGCTCAAGCCGGTAGTTTTTGGACCCAAGATTTTGGTTCTAGTGGCAGTGGCGGTGGTGGCGGTAGTGGTAAGGGTAAGGGTGGTAGTAGTATTAGTGGTGGTAGTGGTGGTGGTAAGGGTGGTAGTAGTGTTAGTGGTGGTAGTGGTGGTGGTAATGGTGGTAAAGGCAAATCACCATCTGCTCCTGCCGGTAAACAAGATTCACATAGTTCTAAAGCTTCCGCTACTAACCCTAAACATGGCGGTTCTCCTCCTCCTTCTTCTCAAACACACGGCGGTTCCCCTCCTTCTCAAAAAAACAGCGATTCCTCATCATCTTACAAGAAAATCGTTCATGTTGTTTCCCAACCTAAACCCCAACCTAAACCTAATTCCCCTAGTCTGAAGACCTGCACAAAGAAAAATAAAAAGCGTCGGTTATATGGCGACTATTAATTTATTTTTCTAATTTAATATAATTTAATAATATTGATGTTAATAATGATGTAACTAGATTTTTTTAGATCCTGGGATTTAATAAAATCATTAGAAATAGAGCCGAATAATGCATTTGCATTAAGTTATTGTGGCCCGTATATGTAATGTCACTTTTAAGCTCCTTAAAAATAAAAATAAAAATCAATAATAATATTCTTGTGTAAAATTTCGATTTTGATAATGTACTGTTTAATTTATTAATATATATATACTTCTCTTGTCATAGGAAGACTTTCGTATGATTGGCTGTTTAAATCAATTTAATTTTACATTATTTATACAGTTTAAAGTACTT